AAGGAGTTTTGTTGGTCTCTGGCTCAACTGTACCCCACACATAATAATCAAGGTGGTTGCAGCCTGGTGAGTTAGGTAGCCAGATGTAAGGGGTGATGAGGTTGCAGAAATTGTCTGATAATCCATGACTGGGTCCTCTTGATTGTGTGGCATTGTGCAGAATCCTGTTTCTAGACATGTCTTCCAGCATCCATCCTCTTGACCCAGGGCAGTACCACCCCCTCAAGGCACTTATGTAAGCCTCTGTGTTGAGTCTGAGGCCCTCACAAACAAATTTGGAAGTTCTTAGAACAATCAGGGTGGGTTTTCTGAGTTGCCATACCATTCATAATCACCATTATTCAACTATTCGAATCCTCCCACCCTCCTTCGATTAACACCCAAACACTCTGAAATGTTCGTATTGGAGATTCCAGTGTGAATGCCAAGCACTACAGCATGTTGTTTGCAAATTTCTGGTTTGAATTGCATCATGGTGCTTTTTTTCTCAAAGACGGTGCCCAACTGACCATACTATACTGTGCAGTTAACAAGATCAAAAACAATCTATGTGCCTGCATGAAATCAAAAATCTAAAATGGTGAAAATTTACCTATTGCACTATATATATATATATATATATATATATATATACACTTTATTCCATAAATATAGCACACCTTAAGAGTATATTATATATATATATATATATAGGAGCACTTTATTCCATAAATATAGCACACCTTAAGAATATATTTCTTATATGTGTGTGTGTGTGTGTAGACTATTGACAGAATTGATTCATGCCTTTCCTAAGTTAATTTTAACTGTCAATCATCATTTTGCTCTGTTTATAATGTTCATGTACTTGTAGAAGTTTAGAGAGTTTTTTTTTAACAAAATACATAAATTCATTAGATCATTATTCAGTCATCAAAATACTTTCTTTGGATTTCAATAAACTTCTATTACTTTACAGCTATACTGTATTCAGTTGTAAATTCCAGTTATTTATATAATGAATTCTGTAAAGAAATTTTTTTGATTGACTTTAACTTATATACTGACTATTCAAGATTTCAGGAGTAGAGAATATTCAGCATGTTGAAGAACTTCCCATCCAAACTCCTGTATCACTCGATACAAAAATAGCAGACAGTATCATGTAGCAAAGTAAATGATGTTTGATTTACTCTGAACATACACTCATTACAATCATAAATCATTACATGCTAGCAGTGAGATTTTCTAGTTCAACTGGCAAAGCAGTTGAAATGGATAACAAAACTTCTTGATGAAAAGAGATGTTATCTTGAACTTCACCAAGACTATTCTTTATTGCCAATACATCCCATGGACTGAATCAGCGACTATTATTGTTGTTTTTTTCCAACCCATCCCACAGATTGAATGAGACTATTATTTATTTCCGATCCATCCCATGGACTGATGGACTAAATTGGCATGAAGAAAAAGCAACTATAATTACAAAAGAATGTAGGAGAGTATTGGCCTAACCCACTTCCCTAAAATCCGTATTTCAATGAAAAGACATCTGAATAATTACTTTGGGAAGGAGCTTGTGCTAAGAACATAGTCTATAGTGAAAGTTTTTATGATCAGTTGTTTATGCAAAAAGTAGGGACCACACTATACACAAATAATTTCTTTGAAGAGCTTAAGAATCATGAATTTTTGGTAACCTTTTGCACTATACACCGGTAAATATTTTCTGGAGAGGGTTAAAATTCATGCAAAAAATTCAGCAGTTACACTACACAGGAAATCAACATTTACATGAGCAAGTATGCTATTCATCATCATCTTGTAAGATTTTAAAAAATACTTGCCAAAAATTAATAATGTTAAATAATAATAATAAATTAAATCTAAATTATGTTACTACAATTAGTGTACATAAAAAAATTAAAAAAAAAAAACAAAAAAACATTTGCTCTGGTTTTAAAATAATTAGCAAAAGTTTATTCCTAATAAAATCTGTATGTTTGTAAAATTTGCTTTAAAATCTTTTATAAGATGGATATAAATTACTATTGAAGAAAAAAGAATTTATACTACATCAATGAATAATACATAGTTTCCTTAATGTTTTTTACAGAGGGATGGCTGGGACGAATTAATATAAATAGATTCCAACACCTTCAAATTAAATTCTGAGTGCAGCTTGCTCAGTACCGAGAAAAATACAAATAAAACAATATAAGAACAATGAAATATTAAAAAAATACTTCCTATCAAAATTTGAAAGTAAGCAAGCCAAAAATCTTACTTTCTCTTAGTGACAGCCACTCAAGCAACAAACTCCTTGCCCTCTGTTATCTTTTGGATATTGATTATATACATATACAATAGTTTCTTTTTATATTTCTTTATAATATATTTAATAGTAAAGCAATGGCAGCATGGAGGAGTAATGGATTATGACTAGGATTGAGGAATCAGAGAGCAGAGTTTGAATTCCAGTCAAGTTTGTAACATTCACTTATATGCTAATACCCCTGAGAAAGTTATGAATCCATTTCATCTCTCCCTAATTATGGGTAACTAGTAGGACAGACTGGGTTCTATAGCCTTGGCTGGTTATTGGTCTAGGAGAACAACAACTCTGAATTCAAATCCAATGCTGAAATCCCTAAGACAATCTAATGTCATGTTCAATTTTGTTCTAGCAACTCCTGCGATGACCCTGGTGCCAAGCTGTTTTGGCCTCTGCCTTTCCCTTGGACAACATCAGTGGTATGGAAAAGTGAGATATGCTGCATAGGCAACTGCTGATCTCTCATAAAAACCCTTCCCAGGCATGCACCCTGGAGGAGGCATTACTCTTCAGGTACTGATCCATGGTCACTCAAGACGAATGGATGAAATTACAACAAAAAAACAAAACAAAAAACAACAAAACAACAAGACAAAAACAACAAAACAAAAAAAATTGCAACAACCAATAATACAATATGTAAATAGAAGATAATACTGTTATAGCAAATGGTTTTATGTAACATGGAAATGACAATACTGATGCTCCTGCTGCTTGCAGACATAACAATAAAGTACTGATACTGAAGAAAGATAGTGAGATTTCTTTGAGGGAAAACAAGAAAAAAAATTCAATTCTTGAAACCAACAACAAAAGGCATCTATTCTGTGATAAGTGCTAGACATAAATGCATGAAGCAGCTGCTAAGAGTCTCTCTGAATGGACAGGACAGAGAATGAAAATACTAATTTAAAAAAAAAAAAAAAAAAAAATGTACACAAGGTGGAATATACAGTGGACAGAGTGGAAGGTAAGCCAAAATAAGAAAGTAAGTGTGTTGGTTGTAGCATTAGAAACAGGCAGGTAGAAACCAGGTGGCTATGAAAGTAGAGATGCAGAGGCACTGGTAAGGAAGTAGAAGCTGTCACTAGAGGGTGGTGGTAGAAGAATTAGAATAAAAAAAAAACAAAAAAACAGGCTGTGTTTCGGAAATAGTGAGAGTTGTTATGGCAAATTTAAGAGTAAAAAAATACTAAAAAAGATTAGCTAAAGCATGATAAGAAAATAAATGCAACTAAATAAAGAAATGGTTAAATCTCTCTCTGAATTCCTCGGGTCATCATTTTTTAAATCCGAACTAAGATCCTCATCTTATTGTCACAACATTTTACCTGTTATGTCCTCTGGCTTTTTCAGGTGCCATTCAGGTAATTTTGAACTGTACTCTATAATTAATCTACTATTCGATTATTCTTGTTCTGCTGTCCATATCTCATGATATCTCACCTTTAATTTTTTTTTAAGTTCTGCTTAGTTATTCCTCATCCTGTTTCCGGTGTCAGAGTTAACTACTTAACCCCAGGATTGAACTATTGAACAATTACTATGCTGTCAAAAATTCAGCAGCAACATTAAGAGAAGTGGGAGATGAAGGAGGTCAAGCATCACAGAAAGTCAACAGTAGGCAAGCAATAAGATCCTTTGGTTTAAGGCTGCCAGATCTAGATTCAGTGAGAAAACCTAAAGGATTCAAGTGCTGCTTTGTAAATAAATAATATTGACTACTTCTTTATGATGAAAAATTTGGCATTTACTGACCAAGCAGCAAGTTCGACTTGAGTTATGCTTTTCTTCCCTTCCTAGCTATTGGACTTGTTCTCATCTATTTATAAGAAAACATTCAGTATTCACTAGCCAAACAGCCAGTACTACTTTTGGTTGAAATTTATAAAATCCTATTAAAGCCATCTGGAAAATAGGTTTCTCATGTTCACTATTATTGATGAGGGCTTTCTCCGAAGCATTTTGTTTGGTGCAGTGTGGAATGTGAATATTGTGAAGTTGGATTGTTTTATTCTAATGAACTGTTTTGGCAAGACATTGCATAATTTGGATATATAAGAAATGGTCTTACCATTTTCACTTTGTTTTTTTTTATGTAGTTTATTGTAATGGTGTTACACTTTTATGTTGACTAATGTCTTAGAAAGAGGTTTTGTGTTTTGTCTTTATTATTACAATTTATAATCAGCATCTTAATTATGTCATTCCCTATGGATTACATATGCTATCCATTTTTGTTGTTGCTACTGCTGAAAGTCATATGGTTTCTGTTATATGTTACAGTCCTTTGTGATTCTGTAGCATCAGTTTCCAAGGTTTGAAAAAGGATGGTCCTCACTAAGACCTACATGATTCACTTACTCAAAACCATAAATAATGTAAATAATGGTTAAACCTCTGTTTGGTTGATTGATGGATTGATTAATTCATTTTTTATGGCTTATCAACCTTTTAAAGACAGAAAATTTTTTAGACTGTAAGAAATCTTTTTTGGTGGGGGGATAATGTTTTAGTGATACTTGTCTTACGAATTAACCCATAGCTGGGGAAGAAGTGGATTCATAGCTTTGCCAATGGTATTTGTACATAAGTAAATATACCAAACCCAACAGGAATTGGAACTCGTCTCTTTGAATAACAATTCTGAGTCATTATCCATTACACCACCAGCACACCGAAGCTTACAGCACCACATATTCCTAAGTGGTTACCCATCTAGGTACTGACCAGGTTTAATCTTGCTTAACTTCAGTGATCATATGGAAACCAGTAGTTCAACATGATATGGTTGTAAGTAAAACAGGGATAAATGTAAGAAGTGAAGCACACATTTTTCTAACGTCAACGTAGGAAATATCTGTCTTTTTTTTTTTTTCTCCCAGATCCTACTTTAAGTCACTCTTATTGAAAATCTTCATTCTGGCTTAGCTATGTAGATAACAAATGTATACTTCAGGATCATCATCAGGTGAATATACAGGTTCTGTTTGACTATGAACGCAATCATCTAATAAATGCATGCACGTGTGTATAGTGTAATGACTAATGATGCAGAAAGTCATATTGGTGATCCAAATTCAAATTCTGGTCTCATTCTGTGCCAGTAAGTGACAATGAGAGAGTAACTATGCAGGCAACATCTACCAAGTGTTCCAAGAAACAGAACTCAAAATAAACCTTTCCAAAACAAGACCAATGATATAGCAGTGGAATAAAAACAATGATGGCACACATCCTGAATCTGTTATAAAAATTCAGGATGTGAATTTAGTAAACACCAAACATTTCAAATTTTTTCAAAAATCATCTTACCCCAAACAAGATGATAATGCCACTAAAATGCAATGGGTTACTGTGAGTGACAGAGAATGAAAATACTTTAGTGAGGAGAAAGGACAATAAAAGAACATGAAATTAGAAGATAGATAATTAGCATTGCATTAAATTTTTAAGATTATAGGTGACAGGGAAGAAGAAACCAGAAGAGTTCCACAGGCGAGAAGTGCAAGAAAGAAAACTTGTAGAATAGAACATAAGGTTACATCTAGCTAGTTCTACCATAAAACAGTAAGGCCAATCTAGTGGTATGCTTAAATTCATGCAGTCAAGGCAAAAGCTCATCAGAAGAATTAGCATGAAAATATTTATGGAAGCCACCACATGGTGGTGTGAAAGTGACTGAAGTTGAAAAGCCAGGTCAAGGTTGATTACATTCTTTGGATTTTGTCAAGAATCTCAAGGTGCAAAAAGTTGCTCTCCTGGAGGTTAGCATCAGCCATACTGATAGAATGCAGAAAAGGTTCTCTATGGCAATTAAATGATAGCAATTTTGCTTTGGAAGTATTAAAATTTAAAGCCATCCTTGTCCCAGTTAACCATTGATTAAAAGTCCTTTTCAAGAGTATCTGGCATTTTTAATTTGTCAAACTAAGAGAGGAGTAAATAGTTGTGACATTAGCAAAAATGTCTAGGTAGGAATTATCTTGGTGTATTTATTATAAATTTAGTATCGGAGATAAAGAAATTGAACATAGAATAGGCTGTGCCAGAGGTAGTTTCAACCAACACCACAAACTTCTACGAAAACTGGATGCCAATTTAAAAAGTAGATAAGTCCACATACCATATATACTCATGTATGAGCTTACTTCATGTATAGTGCAAACCCCTGTACTTTGGTTTTGTGAAAAACCTAGATTTTTTATCCTATAGCTCATTTATAATGTGATCCTCAGCTTCCAAGCAACACTTCATTCTTTATTGTACAAATCTACCTCTCAAAATGGTGAGAAAAAAAAAACATTTACCATAAAATATCTGATAGAAAGATTTAGATACCATGCTTTTCTTCAATGCCTGACTATGGCAGCTCCTTTAATCAGGGCCTCCCTCCTACATAAGCCTAAGTTTCTTCCATTTTACATGAAGATCAAAACCTTATCCACTATGTTTGTTACGTAAAGTTAACAAATACTTTATGTAAATGAAGAATTAATAGATTTTTTCCATTTCAAATTTGCATACATCTTTGTTTCTTAGTGAAGAACATTCTACTGTCCACATAGCAATAGAAAGAAAGAATCTCGGCTATGGGAGGCAGATTAAAAGATTACCTGTAAAGGTTAGGTAAAGGAATCGTGAGAATGTGGGCCTACCAGATAGGTTACAGTTATTGAAAATGCATGAATTTTAACCCTTCCAGAAAAGATTTACCTGTGTATAGTGCAACTGGTCACCAAAAATGCATAATTCTTTTAAATCTCTTCAAACATTTTGGCATAAAAAAAATGTTCATAAAAACTTGCACTATACTGAAATTGTTGTACAAGAGTAAGTGTCGTTGCTGACACTGTGGTTCGAAACTAGATCACCAGTGAGCAACACAGCTCATTCCATTATTAAATAGATCATGTGATCATAAAGGAAGTGAATAAATAGGAAGTAGTGTGATGACTATACAATCATTGTTTACTTTCTTGTCTACCCACTATTGGTATACGTTCACTATCTACTCTACTATGATATGGATTATGATTCTATTCTCTACTGATCATTATACCATTTGGCAATTACTATCTGAAAAGTATTACCAGTGCGAATATATTGGAAGATGTAAGTGCTAGTACCAGAATTTACGAAGTCTCAACTACGACGAGAATTTTTGAAGTTATAACGAGTTTTCGTTTGACATAACAAAAGAATAAGATTACCTCCTCAGTTATCCATTGAAACTGCAATCCACTGAAATAAGAAAAGAAGCCAGTCCCCACCGCGGACCATTTAAAGATAGTTCATGCATCAGATTGGTTGTTACAAACATCCAATCTGAGGTGCGGAATATGTGGTCTTTCTTCGTCTAATTCTTTAAAATGGCCAGAGTAGCTGTTAGCATTTAATTGTGAGGGGGAATCAGGGGTTGATCTCCCCTGATTGGGTCGATTTGGTGATGGGGATTATGATGTTGAAAGACCCAAAATTCCCTGATGAACCAAGTCAAAACATCACTGACGACCCCCTTGGGCGCCTACTTAAGAATGAACAAGCAATGATATCCAACATCACAAAAGTGGTGACGAGGATTTGCAAGGAATCATAAAAGAAGTACATACAGTACTTATATGGGTTGTCTGTGAAAATCTCTGTACTCAAGTATACACCATATTTGGAAAATCAACACAACACAATCTTTCCATAAACCATTTGGTCTCATGCTGCAGTAAGATTAATACAGTAAATATTATGAAGGACAAATAGGACAGGAGAAAGCGCACAAAAATGACAGGAATGGAAAAATGATTATCAATTCATGATGTTTTTATTACTTTACTTTTCTTTCTCTCCAGCGTCACACTTTCCTTTCCTTTCCTGTCCACATGAGAATCTTAGTTCTCTCATCACAAATATGTTAGATGTGATTAATTCGGTGTTAAATTATATAAAGTATTTAATTCACAAAGTTAATTAAATGTAATAAGACTGTCACTTTTTCAACTTTTGTCTTAGGAGCTGCATACAAGGGAGGAGACTTAATAATGGGTTGGGTGGAATTTTTCTCAATAAGCAATAATTGGCTAGGGGCCACAAATTCATTTAAAGTTTTAAAATTTCAGAATTTAAGTAAAGAAGCATTTTTTTTAAAACAATTATGTTTATCAAGGAATGGAATGTGGTATTTCTGGAAAGAATAAGTAATAACAATGGAACAACTTTTTTAAACAATCACAAATGTATGCAAGTAAAGCTGGAACCAACTATAACTATTATGGTTTCCTCTTTGAGCTCTGGGGGGTAAAGTGCAAAGTTAATAAGGGGGAATAGTTTTAATATATTCAGGAGTGGGTTCAGAAAATTTACTTTTAAAAAGAGACAAAATAAAGTAGAGAGAAAAAATAAAAAGAAGAAGAGAGAAAAAATAAAAAGAAGAAGAGAGAAAAAATAAAAAGAAGAAGAGAGAAAAAATAAAAAGAAGAAGAGAGAAAAAATAAAAAGAAGAAGAGAGAAAAAATAAAAAGAAGAAGAGAGAAAAAATAAAAAGAAGAAGAGAGAAAAAATAAAAAGAAGAAGAGAGAAAAAATAAAAAGAAGAAGAGAGAAAAAATAAAAAGAAGAAGAGAGAAAAAATAAAAAAAAGAAGAAGAAGAAAAAAAAAAAGAAAAAAGAGAAAAACAAAAAGAAGAAAGAAAAGAAAAAAAAAAAACAAAAGAAAAAGAATAAAAAATAGCAAGAGACAAAATAAAGACAAGACAAAATAGAGACAAAAGAAAGAAGAGAAACAAAAACAAAAAGAAAAGAGACAAAATGAAGAGAGACTGACAAAATAAAGTAGAGAGACAAAATAAAGAGAGAAAAAAATAAAGAAAAAATAACTAGAGACAAAATAAAGTAGAGAGAAAAAATAAAGAAGAGCGAAAAAATAAAGACAAAAATAAAGACAAAAATAAAAGAAGAGAGACAAAATAAAAGAGAGACAAAAATAAAAGAAAAAATAAAAAAAAAAATAACTAGAGAAGAAATAAGGAAGGGAGAAGAAATAAGGAAGGGAGAAGAAATAAGGAAGGGAGAAGAAATAAGGAAGGGAGAAGAAATAAGGAAGGGAGAAGAAATAAGGAAAAAAATAACAAGAGACAAAATAGACAAAAATAAAAAGAAGAGAGACAAAAATAAAAAGAAAAAATAAGGAAGAGAGAAAAAATAAGGAAGAGGGAAAAAATAAGGTACAGAGAAAATATAACAAGAGACAAAATAGACAAAATTAAGTAGAGAGACAAAAATAAAAAAAAGAGAGACAAAAATAAAAAAAAGAGAGACAAAAATAAAAAAAAGAGAGACAAAAATAAAAAAAGAGAGACAAAAATAAAAAAAGAGAGACAAAAATAAAAAAAGAGAGAAAAATAAAAAAGAGAGAAAAATAAAAAAGAGAAAAATAAAAAAGAGAGAAAAATAAAAAAGAGAAAAATAAAAAAGAGAGACAGACAAAATAAAGAGAAGAAATAAGGAAGAGAGAAGAAATAAGGAAAGGACAAAAAATAAAGAAAAATAACAAGAGACAAAATAGACAAAATAAAGTAGAGAGACAAAAATAAAGAAGAGAGACAAAAAAATAAGGGAGAGACAAAAAAATAAGGAAGAGAGAAAAAATAAAGAAAAAAAATAACAAGAGACAAAATAAAAAGAAAAGAGACAAAAATAAAAAGAAAAGAGACAAAAATAAAAAGAAAAGAGACAAAAATAAAAAGAAAAGAGGCAAAAAAAATCTAAATTTTTAAATTACAACATCTCAACCTTTTTAGCATTTCTGATCTGTGCATAATTATGACCAATATTTGCATTTTTATATTCCCCCTCCTCTTTGTTTGCATGTTTAATTACAACCACAGAAGCATTACTTTAGTCTGATTAAGTCTGAAAGGATGAAACACATCTCACATTTTTTTCCACTTTGCCATTAATTTTCTAAGTAGGTATACAATTCTGAAACAGAGAAATACAGAAGTTTGGTATGGAATTCTTTAATATTTATTTTATATTTGTTTATTATTTTCCTCTTTGTTTGTTTTTTTTCACATAATTATTGTTGGTAATTTAACTGAAGAATTTGCGATTGTATTTTTTTCGTGTCTTATCAACTCTTTTGTGTGTTATTTAAAGTTTAAAGACATTTTGCATTGTAGGAGGTGGTTTATCGTTAACCATAGAGAGTGGAGGATTAAACAATATAAGACAGAAAATAATGAAACAGTTGGACAGCAATGAGCTAAAGAATTTGATGTGCTTTCACCAACTCTTTACATATTGCAGAGTAATTTTGATCAAACTAGATCTATCCATAATGTATCAAAGAGCAGATGACCAGTCAATGTTACTTCTCATGAAAATGAAACATTAGTCGCTCTTCTGGCATATACTCAAATCCCAGATAAAAAAAACTTTAAAGAATCAGATATTTTCTATAGATCTCTGGATTTTCTGATGCAACAGTTAATGTATTTTCCAAAGTTGCTTTATGGATTACCTGAGGATAAACCAGGTTAGTGTTTACACTTTTTCAAGGTAGTTTTGAATAAAGAAAAAGTTAGAGCATCAATCAAAAAATTCACTGAATTCAGTGTGGTGAACACATGTTGGTTCAGATGCAAAAGAGTTGCCGGATCATGTGTGGACATGTTTGTCAACACCAGTTACATCTGGGTTTTCCACATTAGCAGCAGGACAGCTTGACATAACTAGATATGAGCCTCCCTGCTACTGTCAAGATCAGAGTCTTTATAAGATGCCTCATGCTAATAAAAGCAATGGAAAAAAACAGCAGTCAGCAAGATGCAGTGCCTTGTGAAATCAATCCCGTGGTCACTTCGTTCCTAAAATTGCTTTGATTTCCAAGGCAGTGTCATTTTTGTTGCCTCCCATCTCTTTCCCCTCTCTGTTTATAGCTCCCCTCTGTAGTTGGTGAGAGAGTGATCAGTTAGATATTTCCTCCCAGTCACAAACTACTTACATTCAAGCAAGTTTTAATTTTTTTTTTTTTTAGACACAACCCAATCCATTATGTAACAGACCCCCCACCATGTACCTATTGAAGAACAAATGAATGTTATTATAGTTATTATAGTGGACCTTTCATGTAAAGGTGTCATTGGACTACTTTTTTTGACAGAACTGTTATCCATAACCAGCATCTTAACAAGTTCATCTTTTTACTGTCTCTGCTTATGGTTAATTGCACATTAACATGAGGTAGTACTCTTCAAAGAATGTGGCTCTGAGTGGCCGTTTTAATTTTCCTCTGGTTTCATGAAACACACCAGTTTGATGCTGCTCAAGTGATCGAAACTGTCACATCAGTGATTCTGATCTGCTCATGAGTGTAAGTGTTTTGAAGCATCCCTCTCTGATTTGGAAATCATCGGTTTAATATTTTCATATTAGTTTTTAAAAGTGCTGTTAATTCTCAAACTGTAAATATGGTTTACTCAACATAGTTGTAGTATAAGTCACAGGCTGACACTGTGGGAGGTGGGGGGTTGAAAAAAACCATAAACGGGCCTGAGCAGAGGGGTATGCTTGAAAATGAAAAGCCATGCAGAAGTTGAGTAATCACCCTGATTTGCTGTGCACCTTCAATTCAAACTAGCTCTGATGATGTTAGACCTCTATTTTGACTATAGCATGATAATTAAAACTTTGGCGAGGGGGGGGGGCTCCTCTGCATTATGCTGTAATAGAAAAATAACCTCTTGACAAAGAATTACTCCATAGCTGCATAGATCAATGAGGTTCAGTTCAATGGCCATCACAAACACCAGACCTTACTTCAATCAACCTTCTGGGAAGTCTGTTATGAATCATGAATGTGCAGGTAGTGTAATGGTTAATGACTCAGAATGGGAATTAGCCAGAATTCAACTGCATTTAAAACTGAAAGTCAGCTTTACTTGTTCTTCTCTTAATCCCTAATCAGCAGGAGTCTAGTGTTAAGTTGAGTTTGAATTCTGGTAGAGTTCATTACATTCACTTTTGCACAAATATCCTTGAGAAATATATGAATTGCTCTTCTACCAGCTATAGGTTAAACAGTAGGTCAGACTGGGCTTTTCAACCTTGGTTAGCTATCAGTCTAGGAGAAGAGCAACTCTGAATTCAGTTGGATATGGGACTAACAACTCCATCCTGTAAAAACCTACTTTCTATGGAAACCAAGACTGAACGTTCTGTAATGAATTGCAGCTCGGAATGAGAAATTGCAGAGATGAATTTGAATTTCAGCAAGTACATTGCATTCAGTTACATGCCAATACCACTGAAAAGGTATGAATCCATCTCTTCTTCCCCACCTATGGGTTAAAATAGCAGGATATACTGGGTTCTATCGCCTTGGTTGGTAACCATTCTAGAGATGGTGACTCAATAAAATCAACCATCTCCCAGAAAGCCTGGGCCACTTGTAGGAATGCATGAGTATGAAAACACACAGGGGTTAAAATTCTTCAGTTTTGCTAATTTAGCAGTCTCACACAAGTAGAGAATGTGTTTACTTTTTTTTTTTAAAATGGAAACCACAGTAGCAATAATGTAGAGTGTTGAGAACTGTAACACCTATGCTCTTCAGTGGTGTCTACGAGACTTGAGCAAGTGGATGAGTTATCAATAAGGCATTTTCAAAAAAACCATACACAGTTGGAGATGGGATTTGATTTGTAAGAGAAGCATGTCATCAAGAAATTAATGACAATAAATGAATGTACTTGAGTGTAGAAAGTGAACTACAGAAATGTGTCAATAACAAAGGCCAAGAATTTCTACATCAATATGGTACTTAAAGGCAATTATAGAATCTAAGTAATTGTATTTTCTTTATTCAATTCTATCAGTCTTATCGCAATATAAGCTATTCTAAGAATTATAATTCTTTAATGATCTGAAATGTTTTTTCCAGAAAATAAAATAATTACTTTATATACACACGCACTTATTTCAAGTTTACATGTTTTCTATGTGACATGTTCATTCAGGATATAGGAAGTTATGGAGAGCTGCGATCCACATATCTCATGTGGCTTTTAATTGTTTTTCTCCCTTTGCTCACTGCCTTCCCTTGTCTCACTTACCATAAATATGGACCTCCTTTCTCATTAGGTGTCCAACAAATTTCAGCTGCCTTTACCTGATTTCCTGGGTATAAAGTGTTCTTTCTGTTACCTTTTAAAACTTCCTTTTTGCTTACTTGCTCCATCCATAGTTTTCAGTATCCTTCTGTAGAACCACACGTTTTATGCCTCTAGTTTTTTCCTTGTACATTGTGTTATAAAATAAAATAAGACATATCACGGCTGATTTACAGGCAAATAAACTAACATACTCAAGAGCGAGAGCCGGATGTGAACGGGACAAAGCCCCGTCACAAAATGACCATTATCTTCGTTTACACATGTTCCCGATGGACAAGTTCCGGTCGAAAAATAAAATAATATTTTAAAGTGTTTCTATTTTTTGACCAATAAAAATGCTTCCCTCCTAATTATACTCGCATTGTTTTTCGAGCCTGTTAAGCCATAAAAAACACCATAAAAGGGGTAACAGGGAAGAGACCTGTCATGGTCAGGCCAAGCGGTCAGCAGCAGCCAGCAGGAGGAGTGCTACCCAACCTGTGAGAACTACTATGAGAGATCAACCCAGATCTTCAGCCGGCCTATGAACTATATCACAAGGAAGATGTCCCAAACCCACACGTTCCTGTTGAAATAAATCACGTAAATCTATTTCTGCTGTTGTCGTATTTCTTTCTTGCAACCATACGCTTGTCTATGACAATTGGAAGATTGTCGAATATTCACGGACATATAAGAGGATAGATGTCATAACAGAAATCCAGAGCTCTTCTTTGTTTCTAAGGTAATTTTTTTTTTGATTTCCCTGCACCTTGCTTAGCTTTTGAAATGCTTTTTTTTAATTGTCCAATGTGTGTTCAGAGCTATGTCACATTTTCTATCCTCTGTTAAAACACTTCCCAGATATTTTAACTTTTGCACCTGCTTGATGATTAGAGATCCAATTCATAACTTCCATCTAGAGCTTTTTTTATCTTGTTATGTCTAAGTGCAATAATAGTAAGTCTTTTAGACTTGTTACCATTGTTGACACCATGTATTGTACCCTGTCAGATCTTTAATTCTTTAACTCAAATGGAAGCACTCACTTCAACATCCACAGCTCATATGACAATAAAGGGCCTTAATTTTGCCTTCCTCTGTGCACACAATTCTGGAATGCTGTTAAAAAAAAAATACCAGGGTCATAAAACTATCTTTTCTAAACAATCAGAAAAGGTACAAGTGGTTTTTCACAGCAGATGTTTGTGGGCCACTGACTAACCATGAAGTCAATGCCAATTTCACTCATGAAAGCAGATGCAACCAGGCTGGTAATAGTGATGGACAATATGGTAGGAAAAAATCAGGCCATCAGCAGCAACACCAAGGATTTTTGGATTGTTTTTTTCATGGTTTATCAACCCTTTTACATGTTATTTAAAACACATTTTGCATTGTAGAAGATGGATTATAGATAACCAAAGGGAGTGGATGATTAAACAATATAAGACAGAAAATAATGAAACAGTTGGACAGCAATGAGCTGAAGAATTTGATATGCTTTTGACAACTCTACTATTTACATATTACAAAGTAATTTTGATCAAACTAGATCCATCTGTAATGTGTCAAAGAGCAAATAATACATCAGTGTTACTTCTCATGAAAATGAAACATTAGTCAATCTTCTGGCATTTACTCAAATCCCAGATAAAAAAGGAAAAATAAAACCTTTAAAAGAATCAGATATTTTCTACAGATCTTTGGATTGTCTGATGTAACAATTAATATATTTGTCAACATTGTTTTATGGATTACTTGAGGATTACCAGATTAGCATTTATTAAACTATCATTTCTGTCCAATCAGAAAAAGAATATGTGGTTTTTCACAGCAGTTGTTTCTAGGCCACTGACTTACCATAAAGCCAATGCTGATTTCACTCATGAAGGCATATCCGACCAGGCTAGTAGTAGTGATGGACCCTATGGTAGGAAAACTTAATCAGGCCATCAGTAACATCACCAAGGTACTTACATTAGCAGCAATGCCTTTGATCTTTTGTCTGACAATAAAACTAGCAGCTGCAGAAACTAATTCTCAACTATTGCAATGTGATAATTCATAGAATATTTTCTCCATGTGTCAATTCGGAAACCAACTCTTATTCTCACACGACTGATATATGATATCCCAGAATGTGCAAATGATCAAACCTTGTAAATTACTGGGAATTAAAAATGCTTTTACTTATCCCCATTTGTTGTTTTGTCACTCCCACTTCTTTTTTCTTGTTAACGGTAAGGCTACATGGATATATTAGTTTTTATAAATTCAGGAGAATTTGGTAGGGAGTCATCAAAGTGTATGTTACTCCATGTTTTCAAGCACAGGAAATGTAACTGCAGAAAAAAAAATAGGATTTGCAATTTCATTTTATTTATTTTTACTTGATGTTTAATAAAAAATAAAACAAGTCGTATTGACAGAAATGTGGAAAAGACATTAAAGACGCTACTTGGTTTCAGTGAGAAAATGAAAGCAAGAAGATAAATATTTAACATCTGGTGAAAACTTATTAATTTCAAATCTTTTCATTTGTACGCCCTTACTTCTTTAAATAAAAACTAGAGTTCATATTATTAATGGCTATTGCAATATTTTGTTAAAGTTGTTAAGCTCAAATATTTTACAAGACAAAAGAATTTCTACAAATATTTGTCTTGAACTCAGCATTAGCTTATGCAATCATTAACTTGAGTATTAAGATTAATCAAAAAATTAAAATAAAAACATGAAATTTTCAGTTATTTCTAGTTTGAAATTAAACTTACTAAATTACTCTCGCTATACTTAAATTGCATCTACAGTATTATCTGCTATTCAACCCTGAAAAATTGGGCTGGAGGAAATGAAAAGAAAGAACATTTAAAACTGTAAAATGTTGTAAATCTAGGATCCACCATACCACATTCATGAAGTTGACTCATTCTTATTCCCTTCAGATTCCATTGGTAAGGAAGAAGTTTCACCCACAGTTTCTTTACCAGAACTGTCACAATGGGGAATGGGAACCCAGGAGGATGCTTCTATGATCACCACAATCTTAAGCTATTCAAGTAGAGGGTAAACCATTACCTTATTTTTCTTTTTTTAAAAATCATTTCACCTCATACAAGGCAGTAAAAGCCACTAAGACAAGGGGTTAATGAGTGTGGAAGAATTAAAAAAAATAAAATATTAAGGAGAGAGAATAATAGAAATGTAATCAAGAAGACAGATTGACATTGCATTTAAATTTTTGAAGATCGAAATTAGTTGGAAATCATGGAGCTGGAAGAGAGTTCCACAAGTGAGAAGTGTAAGTAAAGAAACAGAGCTTATGGTTGCATTTAGACATTCAAGTGACACTTAGGCCTTGCATTGGCTTAACAGTAGTATAAAAAAAAATAACAACCAGCACTAAAATGTGTGGTATAGTTGTTATCAGGATGGAAAATATAATAGGTGAAACAAATTCAAATTCCAGCCTAGACATTTGTCTTCATTTATTCACCAATGCCATTTGGGTAAATCTGTCTCTCCTCTCTCAGCTATGGGTCAAATAGCAAGGTAAACTGGGCTCGCTAGCCTTAAGTTATAGAACAACTTTGAATTTGAAACTGAAGGCGGCACAGGAAACCACTCTGCTATCTTTCCCCAAGAAAGCAATTCACAGATAATAAAGAAAAGATGGTGAGCCATGATTGCCTGGAGGAAGATAGAATTTGTTTATATATAATTTTTATTTTTCTTATAACTAAAATTTTTTTTTCACTGTTTAATAAAAAAAAAAAAATGTATTTTTTTTTAATGAATTCATCCCAAGCAAACTGATAATGCCACTAATATTGAAAGAACTACTGAGAGTGAAATAGAATATAAAAAAAATAAAATTAGAAGGAAATTAAAATCCAATCCTAAACAGGAAACAAGAGAAACCTCTACAGCTGTTTCAAGAGACTGGTGAGGAGTGTGAACCTATCTGCTCCTATTGAGGAAAAAAAAAGAAAAGAAAAAAAAGAGAGACATAAAATCAAAATAAAAAATAGTAAATAAAATTATATTTATAGTTATACTCATTTAAAAGCCGTCCTATTTGGTGGCATTTAAGCTAGTTCCTGAGGAGAGTTCTTGATCAGGTCTTAGGGACTCTCAAACTTCTGAACATGCCTAAGTCTTTGCATATTCTCAGCATTGGAAGATCTCTTGGCTGCCGTTTGATCTGGGTTTTCATTTGCATGGGACTTTCTTTTCTTCATTGCAGCCTTGGCTCTTTTGATTGTAATCTGGTCCTCTGTTGGTGAAGATTTATTTTTGTGAGGCATACTGCTGATGTATGCAATAACTATAGAAAAACAACAAATTGATCACTGTATTTAAGTATTGCATTAATATTTAAGCTTACCTTTTAAAAGTTCAATGATAATTCTTCTGCCACCACTTAATCTAAAGACAATTTGATGTATGTAGGTCCTTACTTTCATTATAAACAATTATTTTTATTTCATGGGTGATTTTTGCTGGATTTCACAATTAATTCCAGTTATTCCTAAATTTATTTCAAAGTTATAAAAGTTGTTATTATGCAAAACAAAGCAAAAACAAAAAAAATTGATAAAAACAATTGCAATAATAAAAACTTGGAAATCTCAAATTTCATGACAATGGATCCAGATTGAAAAAGTGTTACACACTGACATTTTCATTTATTTATGAAGAAGAAATGTTGAATTAAAAAATCCATTTAAAAACTGTGTGTATCTATTATAGGCATATATGTGCATAACATGTCTGTGCAACTCTCTGACATGAAGATGGTAGCAGACCATTTCTACTGTGTTGTTTGTTTGCTCCTTATTGGGTGTCCCATACTTTGTGCTTAGCACAGTACATAACTACATAGGGTGTCTTTCCATGTGATAATGGTCAGTGAGTTGGTCATTATTACTTAGTGGGTTTGACTAACTGAGTGATGTATACTTATAGCCAACATTTGTGCTTCGAATATATTTAGAAAGTTTTGCATGCTTTCTATTTAACAATATCTTATAAAATCATTTTCCCCTGCAAAAGTTTCCCCATGTACAATTTTAAGGGTTGCAAATTTCATTTTTTTTTTTTTTTTATTACAAATAACATTCAGATGTATTCAACTAGTACTCCCACCAGTGGGGGGTAGAGATTGCGATGGCTCCGGGCATCCATATCGGGGGGGCATCCAATCAAAGAGTGAAATAAAAATTTGGTTTATATTTAATTTGAATAAAGTATTTATTTCATATTTCATCTGTTTTTACATATTTAGCAAGTCTTCCTTTCTTACATCTCTCAGTACTAGGTCCTATGGACTCTATACTGAAGACTTAGGAGGCATACAATCAACGAGTTGGCCCCAGCATCATTAAACCTCTGCATGTCACCAACTCCCAGTGATAACAGTAGAAATTTTTAGGAAGTATGGAAAATAGAATAAAGGAGAAAAACCATGTACATGACCTATCTGCATTTATTGTTAGAGATATAAAAGGAAAAAAAGCAACAGAACCAGACTTTCACCTGCTGAGGCACTAAGTTGCAGGAAATTCAATGCCATTCTTTAAAAAAGGATTTGGGTAAAAAAAACAAAAAAAAACATTGAGAATTATGCATGATTATCGTTTATTAAGGATTACAAAATTAAATTAGTTACAAAATTTTCATTTTAACTAATTAATTCATTTATTCCATTTGCTGCATAGAAAATAATTACTGCTCTTAATAATTAGCAAATATTCAGTACAAATATTTAAACAAAACTAAGTTTAATAATAAACCCATTTTTATTTAAAACATTCTTTTCTGTGATTTTTCTCTTGCAAAATCAGTGATTTCATTGAAAGGAGTGCAGTGTAATCTTTCACTTTCCATACATAGAGGACAAAATGGGCACCCAGATGTGGTGTAATGGTGAGCAAGCTTGTTTCACTAGAACAATTACAACTGATTAGTGAGTTCGATTCTCACTGAGTGCCCCATATTTTTGGCCTTGTGCCATATTTAAGGCGCACTTAGAAAATCACCATAGAAGACAAAGTGCAGCCAGCCTATCTTGCAACATATTTTGTTTAAAGTTAATTTTTTAGTTTTTTAAGCTGTGGAAAAAAAGATCTTTCTCCTGAACAATTTTTAACCATTAAACATTGGAATAATCATAAAATACTTTCTGCAATTAGAAAAACTTAATGAATTTTGTTTTTGTAGATTAACTGATATAGAAACTTCTTTTGGGTCAATTTGTTTCACATAAATATGAAAATGTTTCAATTCACCTGACAGTATTGACATCATTTGGATATTTTTGAATAATTGCTGTTACTGCACCACATAGTTGCATCTCCAAAGAATTTAACTCTACTAGAAATGGAAATTTCTCTGCAACATAATTATATACTGTTGCTCTTTTATTCAAGTTCATGTGATGTGCATCCACAACAGAAATAAAGGTATTTTACAATGATTGTCATTACTAATATAATTTTTATATTAATGTTCATAAAGAATAATCCACATAATACAAAATGTCAGAGTTGTGTCCCTTTAATTAAAAATATGGGACATACTAACTTTCAATAGCTTATTTTCTTCTTCTCTATAATAAATACAATTGTCAGTGAGTCACACTTGTTCAACTTTACTCTAAGAGGCTGTAGCCCAACATATACCATTTTGGAGTCAGACAGACTGTGAGCAAATTAAAAACATTCCAGGCTGGATCCAGACCCCAAATCCTGAAATTTTGGATTCTCAAGTTTTCATTACGGCAATTTTTTCCAGCAATTTATTTTTATATGATTTTTTGCAACAAATTTTCTTGTACAATAAAAGATTTTATAACTAGAAAATAAACTTAGGAATAACTGAAATTAATTGTGAAATCCAACAAAAATCCACCAAGAAATAATTGTTTGTACACGAAAGTAAGGACCTACGTACATCAAATCATCTTTAAATTAAATGGTGGCAGATGAATTATCATTGAACTTTTAAGTGGTAAGCTTAAATATTAATACAATACTTAAATACAGTGATCAATTATATATATAACTAACGCCTTTATCCATTGTGCCATGTGTTCTTGATATTGCAACCACCTGAAGAAGGCCAAAGTGTACAACGGCCAAAACGTAATAAATATGGCGACAAAGATGAGGACAATAGTCCGAATAATGTAAATAGTGTACATAATACCTCATCTCAGAAATATAGACAGACACTTCCCAAATATTTAAATTGTAGTACTTGTTTGATTTTGGTATCTCCAATTTGTAATTTGAATGTTGGGATGTTCCTTTTGCTGACTATGCCACTAGATATACAAGCCAATGTTTTAAGTCACTAGACTATGATCTTGGACTGAAGAAGGCCTGAGAACACAACAGTCAAAATGTTGTGATAATAAAAGCTATGATGCAACAATTAGTTCAAATATAAACCATATGTGTTTTTGAATATGTTTATAACTGCTTCAGCAGCAAATGTTCACAAGCACTCAGTTCAAATAATATTAATACCTGCATGACCAATTGAAAAGGACAAAGGTATATGGTTAGGGAAATGAGAGACAAAATATATGATTGGTAAATTAGAGGTAGAGAACAAGTTGGAGAAATCTAAAATAGTTTTTTTTTTTTTTAATTTAATGAATTAAGTTCTCAGTACAATATAATATAAAAATGTTTAATGCAAAAAAGTCATTTGAATTTTTCTAAAGAATGGTTTCAAGGCTTCAAATTAAAAAAAAAAAAAAAAAAATTTTTAGTGTGTGGGCATAGGAATCGACACTGCATAGTGACTGACAGTCTTATGCCTTAAGCTTAAGCAATGATTATCTTCCATGAAACTTTATC